TATATATATATATACATATATATATATATATATATATATATATATATATATATATATATATATATATATATATATATATATATATATATATATTTATATATATATATATATTTATATATATATATATTTATATATCTATATACATATTCATATTCATATACATATTAGTGAATGAAAAATTTACTTACCTGTTGTTCCAGTGAGGAAATCTTCATCGTCAAGACCATTAGCCATGATAGGAACAAAATTGATAGTCCCGATGTCCCAATTGCAATCCGACGTAGATTCGATACGAGATTCGAAATCAATTTCTCCGTCCTGCAGGGCACAAACACGAAATCATAAGTAAAACAATTGATCCGGGATGTAGTATCAAATTTCCTTCCTATCTATTCTCCAACCTTCCATCAATTCAATGAATTGTATATCTAGCTTAAAGTTAACTCGAAGGTGTTTGGTGACAAATTAAATCGACTCGTTCGTCCACCAATAGACAAGAGTTGCATCCCAGCAACTATAAAACTTAGAAACACGATTACAATGTTTTGCGACAATTCAGCGCTGGTTTGAGTGACTCGGGGCTCGTTCCAAGCGGGACTTTAAACTTGACTCTCAAACTCGATCCTAGAACGCAGGCTGATACAAATTTGACAAGCAAACTCTCAAACGCAACCTGTTATTCTCAAATGCAAGCTGATATGTATTTCACATACGGTAATTCCAAGGCTCTTGCCGGAGAAAAGAGTGAATGTGTCGCTCGGTTCGAGATCTCTGGACTCATCGGTGAAGTCATATTCACCCTCCTTGTCATCTGGAAGTATTGATTGACTATGGTAGAGCTGGACCTCTAATTTCTCAAGGTCTTTGCAAGTGACATCCGCAAGAACTAATGTGTTTTCCAAATCCGCTGAAAATGTGCAGATCTCGCCACTCTGGCTACATTCCGCAGAAGTAGCCTCGATATCTGACAATTGGCTGTCAATGTCGGCCTCAAGGAATACATAGTTTCCCTCGTCGTCTGCTTTATTCGTTAATTTTGGTTTTATAATGATGTTTCCTTTGTCCCAATTGCAATCATCAGCATCACGCCTAGTAACTTTTTTGTGGAGGGCAGAGTTGGAGGCTGCGTTGACCTCGATCAACGACGCGGCGCATACGGCTAGAATCACTTTTCCGAACATTATTTATCTCTACTAGTGTATCAATATTCTGATGAAAGACTAGAATGACCTTGAGAATCCGAAGTATCAAAGATTTTATACATCACGAGAAAAACCAACACTGCACCAAGGTTCAAGACCTGCTGTCATACTCTATAGAACGAAGTTTAAAAGCGACTTCTCAAATAAAGTAATTGCTAAGCGAAGTAATAAAGCACCCCTTTTGGGCTTAACGTCTTGTACTTTTATATATATCACCAATAAGTTCTCTTTCACGTTTTAACTTCATTGCTTGTGGTCTTTCTCTCTTGATGGAGTAAAATAAAATACAAATAGATTTTGTTGTAGAAAAAATATATTGTCAGTACATACAAGGTACAACTGGTACATAACAAGGTACAACTGGTACATACTCTGTGATGACGGTGATAAATAGAGATATTCACGATGACACTACGAAATCAATATCTAGTTCTCTACCAGATATTTTTTTAAATAAAGAGGTAAATAAAAGGATAACAGTAAAACAGTATGAGCGAGTCCACGACCAATCAACAACCGCTGAGTCGCAGACTGTGAACCCTTTTTTTTTTTTGAAGTTAAAATATATATAAAATATCACGTACTGGTCCATAGCCTTCTAGCTTCCTGAAAAAAACATCACAACTTTTTTTTCACCCAAATATGGAATATAAAACCATCTATATAATTATATTTGATTGGCAGGTCGGACCAGGGCTTGTGTCTGCTCTATAAAAATAAAAGTTGCGTCATGCGTGTGTATCAATTTTGTTACTTATATACATTTGCTTTTGTTTTTGTTTAAAAACAAAAACAAAAACAACAGCAATATGTCTCGGTTTGGAGTAAAAAAGGGGTTAGAATAAAAATAAATGCGCTACATTATACATATCGTTGTTTCATTTAGAAGGCCGTGATATCGAAAGCTTCACTTTTCGTACCTATCAATTACTCCAAGATATGGCCTTTCGGAGCCTTCTGATACATATTTATGGTCCACGAATACCGAAAAAGGACTCTCCTTTTGGGTCATAACGTAGCCTTCTAAATTGAAC